TGTGATGAAAACAAAATCATTGGTCTTGCTCATAGTAATTTATTTCAGTGGTTTAGGCACTTTGCAGCAGGCTGTTGCCATTGAAATAAAGCTGACGTGGTAAAATAATTTTATAGCATAAATACTTAAACACAGATCTTATGATTACATTCAACAGAAAAGTGAGAGAAGTCTTAGAGGTATAAAATATTTTCATCCTGGCAAGTACACACTAATATCACCTTGCAGAGGTACCTTAGGGAAGTAATTTCATTATGGTATTTACTTGTTGATGGTCTAGAGCAGGGGAGACAAATTCTCAGTAAAAAGAGCCAGGGACTAAATACTTTAGGTTTTGCAAACCACTTATGGTATCTGTCTCATACTCCCCCCTCCCCTTAAACAATGCTTTTAAAACATGAAAACATTCTTACTTCACAGGCCATACAACTGAGGCCAGATTTGGCCTATGGGCTGTAGTTTGCCAACCCCTAGTCTAAAGCCATTTAATATTGTAACACATTTTTAACATTATCTTTTAGGTGCAGATGATCTCAGGATGAAAATCTGTAGGGAATCACATTTATATGCCTGAGTTCTCTAGTAAATGTGCTCTTCTGTGAACCTTAGGAGTTACTTCTCCAAGTTCAGTTTGATTATGATCTGCAGATCTGACATTGCCAGAAGTTTTAGGAACTAGAAGTTTTATGACAATTTTGTGAACATTTAAATTACTGATACGAAGTCCAGTTCAAGTATCAACATTGTGTTCTTTAAAGCAAGAAGCAGGAACTGTCAGCAAAGTATGACTTGTGGTTGGTGCTATAATATTGACAACTACTGAGCTAAACGGAGTGGGGAAATTTGCTGTAATTGAATTTCTTGAGTTAGATTTTAGGGTTTTCTAATACGAAATATTCTTGTGATCATTTTCTACACTAGCTGCCAATCAAAAAATTATAATTTGCTCGGTTTAATGACAAAAGAAGGCTTTATGCAACAATACAAGATATTAAAATTGTGGAGTCAGTACTACTTAGCTTTCACTCCAAATGGCCTGATGTGTTTCAACAGCAGCAGAAATTCTGTAGCTAACAATAACGCTTAAATTCTTCATTGATTTTTCCTCTCAGCTGCTCTGATTGATTGCCTGTCAGAGAAATGACTATGGCTTGATGAAAAGTGTTAATTCTTTATAATTTCTACTTTTCCCTCAACTATAACAAGGATTCATAACTCAAGGCCAAAGTTTATAGGCCAGGGCTATTATGTTCAGTGTCAATTTTGAGTGAAGTAGTATCTTTGTGTGGGAGTATACAATCGACTGGGCTGGCAATTGTGGAGCTGTGTGCTCACACAGACCTCAGCAACAAGGGCAGCTTCCCCCAGGCAGCAACAAGTTAGACATTTAAAACAAAACAAAAGTTTTTTCGTATTCTTAAAGGGAGTGTAACAGCTGAAAAACCATCACTGACGTTTTCCAGTCAGATGGGTCACGATTCCTCTTTTCATTTTACAGCTCCCTCCACAAAGGGGTTTAACTACTTTCAACCAAATTTTAGTTGATACCATGCAAAACGTAAGACAAAAAAAAAAAAAGTTTCAAATTCCAGTTTTAACTGGTTCTCCTTGACATGTAAATTTTACATAGAAGTGGATCTAATATCAAAAACCACAAGGGTCAAAAGAATTTATCATGTAAACGTGGAGTTATGAGCTAAAGCTGTCAAATCTAGCAACAAATGACTCCCCGCCACAAGATAAAGGTAACAATGAACTCATGAGATTCATGAAAAATTTGAATTATTAGACACTTTAAGGTATACTGGCTAAATTTTGAAGGCTGCTGGCATTATAATAGAATGTTTTTTTTTTTCCTTCCCCCAAGCATTAAAGATTTTCGTATGTTGTATACCTGAAATTTCTGGTCTTTTCATTTTGCCTCATGCCTCCTCTCCTTAGTATAAGGAAAGCCTTAGTGAAGACAAGCCCAGATTAGTAGTCCTGGAAATTCTGCTTTATGACTAAACCACAATTTCTGCTAAACCAAATACCCACTTATTATAGATGATTCAAAACCGACCGTTTCTCCTGTTAATCATTAATTTATGTAGTATCAGAAGAAAAAAAGAGATCACTTCAGGTGGTGGGGATGTTTAATGAAAGCACCAAGATGAGAAGGAAGCAGGGCATGATCAATCCGACTGATCCAACAACTTTTCACCTAGGTTCCCTTTCAAATAAAAATGAAGATCAAAGTGCTTTCAATTTTCTGGAAAATGGCAGTGTAAAAATGGTATTAAAATGTGCAAGTAAACTGCTTCTTTCACATCCTCACAAAGTACTAACGTTTTCTAACATGTAATTTTCTACAGGGCACACTTATGAGCACCTGTCACATCAGGCGGTCTGTAAACAAACCACTATTTGCTCAGCAGGAAACAGGCTTTTTGTGCACTTGTTAAACAGAAAGTTTTTCTGAGAAAACAAAGGAATGGGAGCAAGGGAGTTCAACCTTTTCATGCCCACCCAGAATCAGAAAGAAAAAAACAAAGCCACCGAAATAAAGACGATTGAACAATATCCAGAAGCAGCAGTGATCTCTATAATACTTGATATGGCACAAAGTCTTGAGTGTGTGACTTAGGTTGCTTAAAAAGAAAAGAGAGTTATGTGTGAGGCACAGCTGATTTGGAAAATTAAAGACACTGAGTTTAATCTCTGCTTTCTACTGAACATTTCTAAAATGTTTTACGCTGAGCTTTCATGCTGTCTATTTTCACAACAGAGACAAGGGGCTTTTAAGAACTGGCCAAAGCATTACAAGTTATCCAGGTGCAGATGCCTCCCCAATAAGGTCAACAAATGACCACTGCTGGTGGTGGCTGTATCTCTCACTAGGTAAAGTGCTGTAAATGCAGTTCCAGCGTGTGCTCCCTACCTTCCTAAGGGTTAACCTGACAGCACTGCAGAGCCTGGTTCTATAATGTCAGTAGCATTGTCATGAAGGATGTGCCCTTGTTTCTAATGTAGATTCTTTATGCAGAAGTATATTGGAGTGAAACGCCCAAAAGTATGACAGTGTGAAACGAATTCATTAAAAAATGTACTATGGCTAATAGTCTACGTTGCTGCAGGTGAAATGAAGCCAGAAGTCAAGCTCTTCTGGCAAAAGAACAGTCTCATGGGTGGTGTACTGGAACTCCAGTTTTATATCCTCCTGAGGCACAGAGCTCCACAACCAAAGTTCTCTTTGATTTATGTTTTGGCAAGTGCTTTTCTCTGCTGGAAGATTATCAAAGTAGGTGAAGGAAAGGAGGAAGCATCTGCCTAATGGCACATTAGCATATTGAGGGGAAGAAATAGTACTTGAGCACTAGAGGGCTAAAGGTCATCAGAAGAAAAAAACGACAAAATGTGTTTTAGTTTTAACATGTACCAAGTTTACTAACTGGATACTGGAAAAATGACAGAAGTCTTTGGTTAATGAAAAAAAGAAAAAAAATTTCCTTTTAGAGGCTATAGCTTAGGATCTAATATGGGGTAATATCTAGTGTTGAGGAACCCCAGAGGCACAGTGGTTAAAGTACTCAGCTGCTAACTAAAAGGTCAGTGGTTCAAACCTACCAGCTGCTCTGTGGGAGAAAGATGTTTTGATGGCAGTAGGTTTCGGGTTGGGTTGGGTCTGGTGTTGGCTACTAACTGAAAGGCTGGCAGTCAAATCCACCCAAAAGTATCTCAGAGGCTCTTGTGAAAGATCACAGTTGTTGAAAAGCCTACGAAACACAGTTCTACTTTGAAACACCCAGGCTGGCCTTGAGTCAGCACTGACTCTATGGCAACTGGTTAATAACACCATCTAGTAAAAACAATCTGGATCTTAAAATAGTATATATAACAGGAGAAAAGTTACCTAAATGCTAATGGTACTGAGCTACAAATATGGTGATATATGAGCAAAGGGGTCAAAATAGGTTTTTACTCCAGGAAGGCATTATGTTTGTGAAAAGTGATTCAATTTGTTATACACTCAAATTCAAATTAGAACTAGAGTCTTTACAATGAAATTGTATTGCCATTTCTTGGCACTTTAATTTTGGGGAGTTCTGCAAGTTACAAGTTAAAGAAAACTGTTCTCAACCCTTTTATGTATTTCCTTCAAAAAATGAAAGGAGCAGATATTTTGGTTTTTCGTAAATAGGAACCTGATCATTTTAGCTTTAGTTAATCTGACAAATTTTCCTGGGCATAATCCAGGTCTCTCTGAGAAATAAAAATGTGCTGCATAAGTTAATACATCAGAGTATAATGATATTCACTGATAACTTTAAATAAGTTATGCTAAGAGAACACAGTATTATAGCCTAGATCACCAGTCATGTCTGCCTACCCATGGAAACAGTGACAACTAAAAGATGTGCAAAGATGAAATGAAACAGAGCAACCACGTTTCACTGGCTGAAGTGCAACATTCTGCAGTCTCCTTGTGGGTCTCCAGAGGGTTATAAGGTGAGACGGCCCACCTACTCTGGCTGGCTGTGGCCACACACAGACATCTCAGTACACTGCAGATCTTGGAACGTGAGAAGCACAGAACACAGTGGCAGGTCTGAGCTTGCTTATGACACTCTGACTAGTACAGAAGCAGACAGTGAAGAACTATCCAGTATCCCACAGCCATTCCCTTTCACCTTGGAAAACCACCCATGAGGTTAATAAGAGAAGAATATAAACCAAGGCTGATCAAGCTATGTGCTAGCTCATAGGTGACCATCTGGAGAAGGGGTTTTGCCAGTCCTTAGCTGACTGCTTTCATTATTTAAACAAATACGCATTTCAAATCTTAGAGGAAAAGTATAATTCACATGCAACCCTTGTCCAAAAAAAAAAAGGTTAATTTCCTATGACCAGGACAATTAATTAACCTGTTAAGAAAAGCCATTTTTAAAAGAATTTGCATATATACATAAATATCGTATCTGTTTCTTTTTAAACATCTAGGGTAAGAAGGAGGAGGGGGGATGAGATAAAGATAGGAGCTAAACACCCAACAGGTCCCATTTCTCATCCTCTGCATGGCTGGCAGCATTGTTAGAAAGTCATTCCTTTGCTGCAGTGGTCATGATATATTTGAACATGTAGATTTTTAAGAATTTCTTTATTCATTCTGCCAGGACAATCGTAGATTTTTTTTGTTTTGTTTTGTTTTCTTGGCAGAATAATTCATCAGTGCTTCCTGAGAGGCTCAAGTAGGATGACTGGCCAGATTCCGAAGAGAAACTGTTTGGAAACAAGTTAGGACAAAAATGAGAGAAAATAAAAACTGCTCCACACTATCCTTCAAAAACAGTGAGAAAGTAACCACAAGGCTGTGACTGTAGTGCTTGGTAGGTCTGCTAGTATTTGGTACTAGTTGTCTGAGCACAGCAAGTAGGTCAAAACAAAACAACCCATACTCTAGCAGCTCTGGTGGTGTAGTACCTAAGGCATGTGACTGCTAAACAAAAGGCTGGCGGTTCAAACCCACCAGCCACTCCTTGGAAGTAAGACTGGGCAATCTACTTTCGTAGAGTAGAGATACCACCTCAGAAACCCAAGAAGGGGTCACTATGAGTCGGATTTGACTCGATGGCAGTGAGTTTGTTTTTTTTTGTTTATTAAGTATCTACCTTGTCAAGTATGGAGCTGGGCACTGAAATATCTCTAATCTTTAAAACAACTCTACAATATAGCTATTAACAACTCTGTTTTATTATTAACTGAATATATGTATTTTTTAATTGTGGTAAAATATATATAACAAAATATTTGCCATTTCAACCATTTTCATGTTCATTCATGTGACTTTAATTGTGTTCACCATGTAACAGTTCCATTTTATTGTTGAAGAAACTAAGGCAAGAGATCGGCCCAAGGTCCTGTAGCAAATAAACGGAAGACTTGAATGCCTTCTGGCTCCAAAGCCTGTGCTTCCCCCCTCCCTTCCTTCTATCCCATCCTCCCAGTATTCCTTCAGGCCCCCAGGCACCTAGAAAGTAGACTTACCTTCACTTTTGGCCTGTATCTTAGGTAAAGAGTTCTTGTATATAAACTGAAAAAAAAAGGGGGAGGAGGAAAAGATCTTCAGACTAATTTTTAATCCATGTAAACTAGCCTACTGACAAATTTAAGCACAGTGCCTCAGTATCTATATAAAAAAAAAAAAAAGAAAGAAAGAAAGAAACAATACATCCTTTAGCATTCAGCAATGAATGACTTTTTTTTTTTGAGCACCTACACTGTGCAGAAACTTGTCAAGATGTTACTGAAGATGCACAAATAATCAATTCATAGACTGTGACTTCAAAATTTTTGTAGTTTAGTGGGTAGTTTTCCTCTACATAAGACCTTGGTGGTACATTGGTTAAAGCATTTGGCTGCTAACTAAAAAGGTTAGCAGTTTAAACTCACAGTCTGCTTCCATAAAGATTTACAGCCTTGGAGACCCTATGGGACAGTTCTACTCTATCCTATAGGGTTGCAAGGAGTTGGAACTGATGCAGTGACAGTGGGTTTAGATTTAGGTTTCCACATGTCTGATATGATCCATATCACAATCAGCAGTTCCATCTTTGGAGATATATGATAGTAAGGATGAAAGTAGAGTATTTTCATAATATTTTGGTACAGTATAGGTATGAAATAACCAGGAAGGGAACTGAAAGTCTCCTTCATAGTGTCCTTTAAAATGAGTCACCCCTGAATATGAGATCGGATTCTAAAATCAGTGCATACAGTAAAATTAGAGTTAAATTTATCCTTGAAAAATTGATCAAACTGTCCAAAAACTGTACATAGTTTTATGTATAATATACTATTTAAATGTATTTGAATAGTCATGTACAATATATCATGAATACATATAAAAATATAGTTTTACAGTATTTTAAACAAGAGCAATTAGTGAAAGAACATTCATAGCTGCACCATGTAAGTTAATGTGGCCCCTATACTGTACCCAAAGCTGTAACTGTAAAGAGTAGCAGAAAATATTACTTTACTTATAGAATACTCTGTTATCTTAAAATACAACCTCACTCTGACAGTTTTTTAATTTTAGATATTAGTCTCTAAATTAAAGTTACCTTTTTTTTTTCCCTCTCTTCTGGAAAGAGCCTTGGACCAGGGCTGAGAAGCCCTGGATTTAAATCCTGGCTATCGCCCCACCACTCCTGACTAACTCAAACTCACTGCCGTTGAGTCGGCTCCAACTCATAATGACCCCTCCTTGAGTTTCCAAGGTGGTATCATTATGGAGGGAGCTCTGGTTGGCATAGTGCCTAAGGCACTTGACTACTTACCAGTAGGTTGGCGGTTCAAACCCACCAGCCACTCCTCGGAAGGAAGATTGGGCAATCTACTTCTGTAGTTATACTGCCTCAGAAACCCAAAGAGGGGTCGCTATGAGTCGGGTCTGACTCCATGGCATATAACTACAACAATACTACACAAGTAGATTGACCAATCTTCCTTCTGAGGAGTAGCTGGAGAGTTTGAACTGCTAGACTTGTGGTTAGCAATCAAATGCCTTAGGCACTACGCCACCAGAGCTCCTAGCTATTAAGTACTTAAACTGTGGGGGCGGCAGCCTTCATAGACATTTTATTCCTGAACAATCCTAGTAGTGAGGTATTGTTATTCCCATTTTGTATATGGGATATGGTCTCAGAAAGGTCAAATATTTCATTCATCTAGTAAATGTTAGAGGCAGGATTTGAATTCAAGTTCTGTCTGACTTTTAGCAAACACATTATACTCTACTGCTTGGAAATGTAACTAGTAGTGAACTTTAACAGGTCACTTGTGTCTGGCCTCAATTTCCTTTACCATCAAATTAAAAAGTTGTGTAAGGTGATTTCTATGGTCTCCCAAGTTCTGTTTTGCAGACAGAAAACTCTGGGCCTAAATCCAGGTTCTAACACTAACTGGCCATGAGATCACGTGCAAGATACTTAATTTTTCTGAGTCTGCCTCTCCTCAAGTGTAAAATAATATATGCCTCACAGAACTCCATGAGGATGAAAGGAGGTAATGTATATAAAGTGTCTACCCAGATGAAGCACTCAGCTACTAACTGAAAGGTTTGCAGTTCAAATCCACTCAGAGGCACCTTAAGAAGAAAGGTCTGGGGATCTACTTGTGAAAAATCAGCCATTGGAAACCCTGTGGAGCACAGTTCACCTCTGACACACGTGGGGTTGCCATGAGCTGGTTAGCCCAGGTAAGAATATTAGCTTAAAAAGCTAATTTTTTATATTATGAAAATTTGCAAACATAAACACAAGTATCCATCACATAAACTTGTTAAAAATAGTTTATCTTTCTAATATTTACAGCATCTGAAGTGATGTTTGCTTTGACATTCCTGAGACTGGCTATTTATGGTCTTCTTCTTTTCTTCCTGTTTAGTCTCATCAGATCAGCTCCAAACCCACCTTTCTACATTCTGTGATGCAGGAATTGAGACCCTACAAACCACATTTTTGCATTGGCAGCTAGCTCCCTGATAGAGAGCATTAGAGGGACACTGAAAAGCTGGATGAGAAAGAAGGGACTTGCTCCTTGTTTTATTTTCCTGAGGGGCTGTGGCTGTGACCATCTCAACAATGCTTTGTCACTGCGGAAGCAGCAATTTGTTCCTGTAGCAGCAGTGCCCTTCTTAAGAGCCCTGGAGCCTTGCCCGAGCTCAGAGACACCAGCACCAGCTAAGCAGCACTTCTTCCTCAGACCTGAGTTTCAGCTTTGCAAGGCCTCAAATATGAGATAGGATCTACGTCCTCCTGTCTGAATCTGTAACTTTGACCAATAGAGTATAGGGGAAGTGACCCCATATGAATTCTGAGACGAGGTCATAAAAAACTCTTCTGCTTCTGCCTGGTTCTCTTAAGATGCTCCTTTTGGGGGAGCCTGGCTATGGTAGGAAGGATGATTACACTGAGGCTGAAGAGATCATGTGTAGGTAGGTGTTCCATTGACAGCCCTAGCTGAGCTCCAAAATGACAGCATCAACTGCCACCCCATGTGAGTGAGCCATCTTGGACATCCATTCCAGTTGGAGTCTTCAGATGACTGTAGTCCCAACTGACATCTGACTGCAACCTCCAATGAGAGAATCCAAGTGAGAATTGCCAAACTGAGCCCTTCCAAATTGATGACCCGCAAAATTGTGAAGAAAATAAAATGTTTGCTTTAAGCTGCTAAGTTTTGGTTTGTTGTGCAATGACACCAAAACCAAAACCAAACCTACTGCCATTGAGTCAATTCTGACTCATAACAACTGTACAGAACAGAGCAGAACTGCCCCAAAGGGTTTCCAATGTCACAAATCTTTAGCAAAGAAGACTGCCTCGTCTTTCTCCTGTGAAGCAGCTGGTGAGTTCAAGCCACTGACCTTTTAGTTGGCAGCCCAATGCTTTAACCACAACACTATGAGAGCTCCTATCAGTCATTCCACGGACATCTCAAATTCAATATGCTCCTGCAGCAGTCACTGCAATATTCTTTTTTTCTCTATTTTTCTTCTGGAACTCCAATTAAACTATGTTAGACTCACTTTATTTTCCACTTCTCTTAAGCTTATATTTTTTTGTATTTTTGTCTCTTTTGCAGCTAAGTAATTTTTACAGCCTGTTCTTCCAGTTCATTAACATTTTCTTCAATTGCATATAATCTGTTATTAGTCCTGTACATTGAGTTTTACATTTTGGCTACTATAGTATCATTTCTGGGGGTTCTACTTTGTTCTTTTGCAAATCTGAGGGGAAAAAACCCTTCTCCATCATTGCCAGATGTTCTTGGAAGCTAGCACATTACCTACCACACAACTGATAACCATTTCCTGACTTCCCTAGTCCTTGGATATTGAATGCTGCCACTTTTATGTAGAACCTCTTTACTCTCACTGTCCTGGCTCCTTTGAGTTTTTGGGAGGGGAGGGGCAGGGAAAGGAAAAGGAAGAAGAAAGTACAAAGTCACAAGGGAGAAGGGGAAAGTAGGAAGCCCTGTCCTTTTAAAATAGATGATACAGTGGGAAGCCTAGCCTTTCACCCCTTCTTGAGTATCTATGATAGGAATTTATTATTTTATTGTACTACAATGCAGTAAAGTCACTGGAACCTCTTGGTTCCAAGTGTTAAAGTGTTAACTTTTGAATTCTTCATGTTTCCTTTCTTGTTGTGAATTTTCCCGACCACTCCTCCCATGTTCCTTCCCTTTTAAACTGAATATTTCCAGTGTGCTATGGTCTGAGAATCCAAATAATCAATGTAGGAAGAAATTGCAAAAACAAAAATAAATACACTAGAACCAAGATTTAAAGAGCTTTGCCATGACTAATAAACTTGAGCTCTTTATAGCATAAATTCTGCTCAGAAGCTCTTTTTATATTAATTCTCAGGTAGTTACATTTTAGCTAATTCAGGTTATCTGGATAAACTAATTGCTAGGTAGGTGAGATGCAAATGTTACTTTGGGGAGATGTCCTGGTTCAAAGAAAAACTTTCTGCCCCTTTCTTAGGAGGTGTTCTAAAAATTTCACTTGAGTGAATTTTCATACTGGTTCAAATGAAAACTATCTGGCCCTTTCTAAAAATATTTTCTCTCTCTCAATTCTTAAGAAAACAGAAAAAAATTGGCATTAAACATGATTGACACACTGCAAAAGAGATCAGTATGTACACATTCATTAAATTATTTAACAATATACACTGAGCACTTACTATGTGCCAGGCATAGTTCTAAGTATTTGGGAGGGTAGCAGTGAATAAGATAAAGTCCTTGCTCTTAAGGAATTTACATTCTAGTCAAAGGAAGTAAATAAGTAAATAAATATATAAAATCCAAATCAAACCCAAGCCACTGCCATTGCATTAATTCCGACCCACAGTGACCCTTTTGGAAAGGGTATAATTGCCCTGTAGAGTTTCCAAGGCTACAAATCCTTACAGAAGCAGACTGCCACATCATTTTCCTGTGGAGTGACTGGTGAGTTTGAACTGCCAACCTTTGGTTCACAGCTTTAACCACTGCGGCAGCAAACCCATCCACTGTTCACTGAGTTGATTCTGACTCAAAGCCACTCTGTAGAATAAGAGCAGAACTGCCCTACAGGGGCATCTTTCTCCCATGGAGAAAATAAAAATAATTAAAATAAATACATAATTGGTTATAAATTAAGCATTGATGGTGTAGTGGTTAAGTGCTTTGCAGCTAACCAAAAGGTCAGCAGTATGAACTCACGTGCCGCTCTATAGAGAAAGATATGGTAATCTGCTTCTGTAAAACTTACAGCCTCTGGAAACCCTAGAGGCAGTTCTAATCTGTTTTACAGGGCTGCTATGAGTCAGAATTGATTTGGTGGCAATGGTGGGTTATAAGTTATCTGAAGAAAAATAAATCATGAATAAATAAGTCATGAGAAGAGAGTGTGGTATAGGGGTATTATTCCAATGGGGTCATCAGAGAGAGCTTTGATTTCATCTTTGCTGTAAATGTGTGCCTCAAATAGACTTTTTATTAGGGGAGCAAGGAAAGAGAAGTGGCAACTGATTATTTCAGAGAAGGACAAAGATTAAGCTGGAACTTCAGGTACTCATACTTTCCAAGTCCCTTATGTGGGTGATTTGGCTGTTCTCCCTTCCTTTTTCAACTGTTCTCTAAAAACAGGTATCTTGATCAACAAGAAATTGGAAATGTTTACACCTTACAGGCACTAAACAAAGGAGATGAATGATCTACTTAGAGTGTACATCATATGTCAGAAGTCAATTAGTACAATGATCTCACTTTATGGATGAGAAAAACAACCTTCAGAAAGGAGAAGGAACTGACTTAAGGTCACACAGTAGCAGAGGCAAAGTTGGTACAAAGTACCTGATTCTGTCCTTAACTCTGTAAATTTGTTGTTGTCAGTTGCTGTCGAGTTAGCTATGACTCACAGTGACTCTACGTCTAGTGGAATGAAAAGCTGCCCAGTCCTGCACCATCTTCAAGACCGTTGGGTATGTTCGAGTCCACTGTTGTACTATTGTGTCAATCCAACTCATTGAGAGTTGTCCTCATTTTTGTTGGCCCTCTACTTTAACAAACATTATGTCCTCTTCTAGCAATTGATCTTTCCTGATGTGTCCAAAGTGAGTTGAAGTCTTATCATCCTTGCTTCTAAGGAACATTTAGTATTTCTTCTAAGACTGATTTGTTCATTCATCTGGCAGTTCACAGTATATTCAATATTCTTTGCCAACATCACAATCTGAACACATCAACTCTTCGTCTGTCTTTGTTTTCACCATCCAGTTTTTGTATGCATGAGGTGACAGAAAAGATGGCTTGGGTCAGGCTCCTCTTAGTCATTAAAGTGTGATCTTTGCTTTTTTAGAATTTGAAAGATATCTTTTGCAGCAGATTTGCTCAATGTAACACAGTCTGATTTCCTGACTGCTGCTTCCATGGATTGTTGATCCAAGTGGCATGAAATTGTTGATAATTTCAATTCTTCTCCATTTATTATGATATTAGTCCAGTTGTGAGGGTTTTAACTTTTTTCATGTTCAGATGTAATCCATACAGAGGCTGTGGTCTTTCACTTCATCAGTAAGTATTTCAAGTTACCCTTGTTTTTGGCAAGCAAAGTTGTGTCATTTGCATACTGCAGGTTGCTAATGAATCTTCCTCCAGTCCTCATGTCTTGTTCTTCATATAGCACAGCTTCTCAGATTATATGTCAGCAAACAGTTTGAGTAAGTAAGGTAAATAGATACAATACTGCCACACACCTTTTTCAGTTTTGAACTATGCAATATTCCCTTGTTCTGTTTGAACAACTGCCTCTTTATCTGTGTTCAGGTTCTGTAAGAGCACAATTAAGTGTTCTGGAATTCCCATTCTTCAAAATGTTATCCATGATTTGTTATGATTCACACAGTTAAATGCCTTTATATAGTCAATAAAACACAGGTGAACATCTTTCTGGTATTCTCTTCCTTCAAGCAAGATCCATTTGACAAAAGTGATGATATTCCTCATTCCATGTCCTTTTCTGAATCCAGCTTGAACGCTTGATGGTTCCCTGTATATGTATGGCTAGAGTTGTTTTTGAATTATCTTTAGGAAAATTTTTATTAGCATGTGATGATATTAATGATACTGTTCAATAATTTCTGTATTCCATTTGATTACATTTTTTGAAATGGGCATGAATGTAAATCTCTTACAGTTAGCTGGCAGATAGGTAACTGTCTTCCAAATTTTTTGACTTAGATGAGTAAGCTACTTTCAACACTGTATCCATTTATTGAAGCATCTCTACTCGTATTCCATCAACTCCTGGAGGCTTGTTTTTTGCCAATGCCTTCAGTGTAGCTTGTTTCTTCCTTTAGTACCAGTGATTCTTGATGATATCTACCTCTTGAAAAGGCTGAATGTAGACTAATTCTTTTTTACCAAAAAGAATATATAGACAGTGACTCTGTCTATACATTCCTACCATCTTTTTTAGCTATTATTATTTTTCTAAAGTATTATTTCATCGTGTTTTGGTTTACACACCACGCTAGGTTCCCAATGAACAATTTCTATACAAGTTGTTCAGTGACATTGATTACATTCTTCATAGTATGTGAATCTAGTTTCCATGAATCCAGTTTCCCTTACATTCTCATCTTTGTTTTAAAGTAATTGTTGACTGGTTTCTTACAGGTGATTTTTCAAAGGAGCATAGTACTTTAAAAGAATGGGTGGTCCTCATTATCTTTTGAGCCAATTTGTTACTTAGAAACAAGATGACTTCAGCAGTTACTTTCAAAGTTACTTTCAAAGTCTAAAGAATATCTCAGGGCAATAGTCTTGGGGAGTCCTCTAGTCTCTAGTCCAGTAGGTCTAGTTTTTTTTTTTAAAGGAATTTGAAGTTCTGTTCCACATTCTTCTCTCATTCTACCAGGGTCCATCCATCTATTGTGGCCCTGATTAGAATGGTTGGTAGTGGTAGCTGGGCACTATCTAGTTCTGCTCTCAGCGTAAATGAGGCCATGGTTCATGAAGACTATTTGTCTGAAGACTAGCTTATTTTTAAGTCTTTGATTTCCTTCTTTCTCTTTTGCTCCAGAGGAGTAGTGACCAATATTTGTCCTTCCATCTTCTTTTGAAGCTTTCTTGCATCATTCAATTTTTTTTTTTTTTTTAAATTATGATTTGGGTAAAAATTTACAAACCAAATCTGATTTACATTCAACAGTTCATGTGCAATCATTCAATTTTTCTCAAAGAATCCTTCAGTATTACAATTTGAGGCTTGAATTTCTGCTCAATTCTCAACTTGAGAAATGCCAATCATGGCCTTCCTTTTTGGTTTTCTAATCCAAGTCTGTGCACATTTTGTCATAATATTTTATCTTGTCTTCTCAAGCTATCCATAAATCTTCTGTCCAACTCTTTTACTTCACCATTTCTTCTACCATCTTATTTGAAGAGCAAAGCAAAACTTGCCAATAATAAGCTATAAAAGTTTATACTTCCTACCTGAAAAGGATGTGAAGGTAAGAGCCAAGACCAGTTAAAATATGCCACCATGCATGAAACTGTGTGGTAACACCTATGATAGGTGGTACCTTCTTCCGAAAGTTCCTGTGTAGAGAGGAAAACAACAAAATGCCATGTTAAATTATATATATATATATATATATATATATATATATATATATATATGCATGTATATATATAAAACAACTAATGCTAACAGTATTGGTGCATTTTGGAAAGCCTGCCATTCTCAAATATGGCTATTATTTAATTTTTCTTAAGTCTACTTAAGAAAACTACAGTCTGCTCTATTATTTTCAAAGTGTATTCTGCTAGTATTCTTAGCAGATGTCCCGTGAAGAAAGAAATCCGTGATCAAATAAATGTGAGAAAAGAACAGTTTATTGCCCTCTTAGAGATTTATACTGTATATTAAAGGCTTTGAAAAATCATACCATAAATAAAATAGTTTACCTTAATGTTTTCTAGGTAACGTACTAATCTATGAACTCTTTTTTCTAGATTCCTACATGACCTACATACAACCATTACCTTAATACAGTAACATATAGTCCTTCTGTGCCTATTATTTCACTCCATAGTCAGTTATTGTTTGAGGAGGCTGTTACTAGCACTGTTGTACAGATCAAAAATTTAAATCCAGAGAGATTAATTGAGTAGCCCAAGTCACTTGCTAATGGCACAGCTGAGTCTCAAACTTTAGATCTTTAGGTTAATTACATAGCGTATTAATATTCTTAATTTTTAGAGGGAAAAACCAATGGGAAACACCAATTATTTTTCTAGATATCCCCAAGATTTTTTCAGGACAATTTCCATCTCCAAGAGTCTACTTCGTTTCTTAGGCCAGAATGATTAGTGGTTCTCACTCTGGAGATGATGATGACCAGTGAAAAAGCTCCCTTATATCTTAGTTTTCTAAGTCAACTGTATTAATTTTTTGTCTACATTTATTTTATTTTTTATTATGGGAAATTTTAAATGTGCAAAAATAGACAAAATAATAATGCACCCATTACTTAGCTTCAGTAATTTTCAACTTATGGACAATTTTGTGTCATCTACACCCTCATCCACATTGCCCCTTCCATATTATTTTGAAGCAAATTCCAGATATTTCAATGTATTGGTAAATATTTCAATATTAAAATTTACATCTAAATAAGACTATTTCTGTTTTTCAAAGATGTCAATAACACACTTAGATACTATATTTTTAATGGGGCTATGGTTTACTTTTAAAAACAAGACTACTAAAATGTGAGATGTACTTATTTACCAGAATTATATAACCTGTTAACTAGTCATAACCATTTTTGAAATATTCATTTTAAACATTTTACTATAAAAACTGCAAACATATATAAAAGTAGAGAAAAGGGTGTAGTAAAATTCAATGTATTGATCAATCATCTTTAAAAGTTATCATTTCATGACCAATCTTATTTTTTGGCCACTCCTCCAAACTGGATTATTTTGAAGCAAATCCCAGATAATGTATCATTTTATGTCTGAATATTTTAGCATGTGTCTCAGATTTCCTATAGTCTTGAATTTTGCTGATTGCTTCTCTTATGGTGTTGTTCAATTGATTCCTCTGTCCTCAGTGTTTATACAAATCTGGTAGGTCACAGGATTTTGAGCTGGAAGAACTCTTTAGTGTAACCTTATTTAACACACTCATTTAACTGAGGCCTAGAAAGATTAAAGTGCCTTAGTGGTAGACTAGGGTCCAGAGACCTACATTTAAGATTTAAACTTCTGTCAATACATAATTGCTAATAAGATGGTAAAAGGAATGCTTACCTTTCTTAGCAAATAACATTAAGCATATTAAAGTGCAACTTGATATACCTGTATTTAATTTGCTTATTACAAATGATTTTTATTAATTCAATAAAGCAGATTAGTTAGGTTTCAAAGACCTAGTCAGTATTTGATTAACTTTATAATTCTATGATAAACTGGAAGAAAATAAAAATCCTACAAATGTTATTAAATATTCTCAGGTCAAATTTTTAGGTAACTTAAATAGGTATTCCCTGAATTTAACTTTGCTAGACATATGTCTTACATTTCACCAAGGTAAAAATTAATTTCAAGGCACTGATAATTCTATATGTCTATGAAACTTTCTGCACAATAGAATGTTTTTAAAATATTTCTCAAGGAATGAAACATATCTCACCTCAGTGAATCACAAAAGATGTTATCTATGTTCCAAAATAAAAATCCTAATAAAAATATACCCAATGATGTATAACCCAGTCCTCTAAGCCATGGATAAACCCTGTAAGGGAAGAAAGAAAAGCAAAATGAAATTATATCAAGCCATGTCATGATCAGAGCTTACGTCACTGCTCTCATGAGAAGGAAAGGTTTGCATTAGTATTAAAAGCAAACCTATCCATTCAATTCTCTAACATTTGTCTATTATATTTAGCTATTAAAAAGCACTGAGAGAGAATGGGCCACTAAGACTTTGCTAAATATATCAGGAAGGCAATCTGAAAAGTGTCCCAAAACTTTTTAAATTACATAGAAGAGGAAGGGGATGATGGTATAGAATAAACATTGAGTCACCTGCTCTGCATCAGGCACAGCAATAAAACAATTTATACATTTATGTAATCTTTAAATAAACTCTATGACGTAGGTACATTCTTTTTTATTTCACATATGTGTAAAGTGAATGAGGTATAACTGACTTACATTAAATTGCACATATTTAAAATGTACCGATACAGTTTTGGAAGACTGGAAGTTCTCTCAGGTTGGAAGGCAATCAAAATATGATTGGGGAAGAGCTGCCTCTCAAAGTAGAGTCAACTTTAATGGCATGGATAAAGCTTTCAGGACCTTCATTTACTGATGTGGTATGACTCAAAATGAGGAGAAACAGCTGCAAATATCCATTAATAATTGTAATGCAGAATGTATGAAGAATGAATCTAGGAAAATTAGCAGTGGTCAAAAATGAAATGTAACACATAAAGATCAATATCCTAGGCATTAGTAAGTGGAAATGGACTGGTATTGGCCATTCTGAATCAGACAGTCATATAATCTACTATGCCAGGAATGATAAATTTGAAGAGGAATGGTGTTACACTTATTGTCAAGAAAAAGCATTTTAAGATCTGTTCTGAAGTACATAGTGATCAGTGATGGGATAATATGTAAGCATTACCAGGAATGCCAGTTATTACAACTATTACTCAAATTTACACACCAACAATTAACACCAAAGATGAGATGAAGAAATTGAAGATCTTTACCAACTTCTGCAGTCTGAACTTGATCAAACATGCAATCAAGATACATTGATAATTACTAGTGATTGGAATGTAAAAGCTGGAAACAAAGAAGCAGCACTGGTAGCTGGAAAATACAGTCTTGGTGATAGAAATAATGTCAGAGGTCATATGATAGAATTTTGCAAGATCAACAACTTATTTATTGCAAACACCTCTTTTCAACAACGTGAATGGTGACTATACACATGGATCTCCCTGGATAGATGTGGTAGTTAAGTTTGTGTGTCAGCTTGGCTAGGCCTGGTTGAGTGGCTGGGCAGCTGGATACAGTTATTCCCCATGGTAAGACTAATGAACTCCATGGTGGAATGTATTGGAGCAGCTGAGTAGCTGCTTCAGGGATGTGGTCTGTTTCCCATATATAAGCAACAGCTTTGGGAATGGTCTCTAGCTAATGGCACACTTGAACCCTGAATGCAGACGTGTCATTTTTCAGCAGCCTGCCATGCTCTCCCAACCTTGGGACTTTCAATGGACTTGAATTAATGGCCTGCTGTGTGATTTGGTAACATTGAGATTGTACCTTTTTACTTGTCAACCTTGGGCTTGTCAGTCTCATCAGCCAGCAGCCATCTGAGTGAAGTAAAGCCTCTAGCTTCAGTGGGCTGGGAGCAGGGGGCAGAAGGTTGAGGGGCTTTCACTCAGCCCCTAGAGCCTAGCACTTTGAATTCAGACTTAAAGTCTCCAACTGTAAGAGAATAAACTCCTATTTGTTCCAGCCATCCCATTTGTGGTATATTCTTGTCAGAGCAGCACTACGTAACCAGAACAATAGAATACACAGGAATCAAATTGACCACAGCTATGGAAAGAGATGATGGAGAAACTCAGTATCAGAGCAAGGCTAAGAGGCTAACTGCAGAACGGACCATCAATCGCACATATGCAAGTTCAAGCTGAAGCTGAAGAAAATGAAAACAAGTCCACAAGAGTCAAAGTATGACAAAGTCCAAAGAGTTGAAGAGTATATGCCACCTGGATTTAAAGATCATCTAAAGAATAGACATATTGCACACAAATGATCAAAGACCAGACAAGTTGTTTGATGACATCAAAGATATAATGAAAAAAAGCAAAAGGTCATTAAAAAGAAAGGAAAGAAAATACCAAAATGGTTGTCAGAAGAGTCTCTGAAACATGCTCTTGAACACAGAGTAGCTAAAGTGAATGCAGGAATTGATAAAATAAGATCTGAACAGAAGATTCCAATGCTTTGAGAAGACAAAGTATTGTACAGAAATGTGCAAAGACCTGAGTTAAAAAAACAAAAGGGAAGAAATGCTCAGCATTTCTGAAGAAACAACTGAAAAAACTGAAGAAAATAATTTTTTCTGAAGAAAAAATTCAAGACTTGGGTTGCAATACTAAAGGATTGTATGGGCAAAATACTGAGTGATGCAGGAAGCAAAAGAAGATGGAAGGAAATGAGAGTCACTGTACCAAAAAGAATTGGTCAGTGTTGAACCATTTAAGGAGGCAGTATATGATCAGGAACTGATGGTACTGAAGGAAGAAATCCAAGCTTCACTGAAAATATTGGGTACAAACAAAGAACCAGGAATTTTGAAACACCCACTGAAATGTTTCAACAAATGGTTGCACATTAGAAGAATTCAATCATCTATGTGCCCATTCCAGAGAAAGGTGATCCATCAGAATGCGGAAATTACTGAACAATATCATTAATATGACATGCAAGTAGAATTTTGAAGATAACTCAAAAATAGCTGCAATGGTTCCTAGACAAGAAACTGCCAGAAATTCAAGCTGGATTCAGAAGACAACATAAAATGAGGAATATCATTGCTAATATCAGATAGATCTTGGCTGAAAGCAGAGAATAACATAAAGATGTTCACCTATGCTTTACTGGCTATGCATTTAACTGTGGGGAATCACAACAAAGTATGGATGACATTGTGAAGAATGGGAATTCCAGAATATTTAATTCATGTGCTCATGTGGAAATTGTAGAGACCAAGAAGCAGTCATTTGAACAGAGCAAGAGGATACTGCATGATTTAAAATCAGGAAAGGCGTGCATCAGGGTTACATCCTTTTACCATACTTACTCAGTTTGTGTTGGAGCTGTGTGTTAACTTGGCTGGACCACAATTCTATGTGGTTTGAGCTGTTGTGGTGTGGTTGTTCCCATGATGGGATCAGATGATTAAGTTCTGAGTGGACAATCTGTTGAAAGGGAGTTTCCCTAGGGATGTGGCCTGCTTCCAGTATATCTGTGGACATCCTGGGAGAGGAGACATTCTTCTGTGGATCAGGATTCTGTTGTGCTGCCTACAACTGTCCATGAGTCACCATTCGGCCTGGAGATCTTGGATTTGTCATTCGCTGGAGTCAACAGCTGGTGTACTGCCTGCCAGCCTTGAGCACCTCAGCCTTTGCAGCTGCAAGAGTCAGGAAAAGCCTCCAGCTTGACGTTTGATCCAGGAACTTTGGACTTGCCAGCTTCTATAAGTGTGTGAGCCATTTTCCTAATATAAATTTCTCTATATATACAGATATATAAGCTTTACTGCTTTTGTTTCTCTAGAGAACCCAGTCTAACACATTTGGTACTGAGAGTGGGGTGCTGCTCTGACAGATACTTAAAATGTGGAAACAGGAGTGGAATGTGTCCTTGACCTGAGACCCTGGCAGAGAGACCCGGGCATACGGCATGACAGATGGCAGAACAGATGGCAGGAGACCGTCATGGGAGATGGCAGGAGTAGAGCCCAGAGACCGGCATGAGAGGCGGCAGGAGCAAAGCCAAGAGAACCAGCATGAGACAGCGACAGCCTTACCAGCCCATGGAGGAGAAAGTCAGGTGCCATTGGGTAGATGGCTTACTGGTGGAGTGGGTTGCCTTCGAGCATTAACTGGTAGAAGAGATCGGCATGAAATGGAGTAGCAGGTTGGCCGGCCCATGGAGCAAAAAAAGCCGAGTGCTTTTTGGGTATGGTTTTTCAGTGGACTGGATTGCCCTCGGGCATTAATTGGCAGAAGCAGAGAGACCAAGGAAATGGAAGCAAAGCTGCCTCAGCCTTAAGGGTAGGACCATGGCCTTTGTGGGTGGAACGACCACAGCCCTCTATGTTTTAAAGAGCCAGGCCTTAACCAACTTGGTTCTGGAGTGTGGGGGTGGGGCTGCCATGCCCAAGAGAGAGAGGAACGGGGCTGCCAGGCCAAGGGGGTGAGGTCGCCACTTAGAGGAACTAGGGGACTGGAGCCACCCAGTGGAGGAGACCTGTACAGATACCAACCACCGAAGATCTGTACAGGTGCCAAGTTGAGTGGCTGCGTAGCTGGTAGTTGTTAATCCCCATGAGGAGACGGGCAATCAACTCCATGGTGGGATCTACCACGAGCAGCTGAGTAGCTCCTTTGGGTATGTGGTCTGCTTCCTGTATATAAGGAGAAGCTTTGAGAATGGTCTCTAGCCTATGGCATGCTTGGACCCTGCATGTAGCCATGTCGTTGCTCAGCAGCCTGCCATGCTCTGCTGACCCTGGGACTTATAATGGACTTAAGTTAATGGCCTGCCATGTGGATTGGTAACATCGGGACTGTGCCTTTTTACTTGTCAACCTTGGGGCTTCACAGCTTCAGCAGCCAGCAGCTGTTTGAGTGAAGAAATGCCTCTAGCTCCTGTGGGCTGGGAACAGGAGGCAGAGCTGGACCCCAAGGTTGAGGGGCTTTCATCCAGCCCCTAGAGACTGGCACTTTGAACTTGGACTTAAAGCCTCCAAACTGTAAGAATAAACTCCTGTTTGTTAAGACCATCCCATTTGTGGCATATTCTCATCAGAGCAGCACCAGGTAACCAGAACATATGCTGAGCAATCTGAGAAGCTGGGCTATATGAAGAAAAATGACACATCAGGTTTGGAGGAAGACTCATTAACATAAAAGAAACAAAAATCCTCACAACTGGACTAATAGGCAACATCACAATAAATGGAGAAAAGACTGA